GAGGGGTTTGTGCGGGGAGAAGGGTGCAACAATGCAACAATGAATGAATGGAATTCCAAAATCTCTGTAGATGTTCATTGAAATGAAAAATAAACAAACTAAATTAATTAAAAAAAAGTTTATTTCAGGATGTTTTCAACCTAATGCATTGGGTGGCATTAGCCTAACAGCTGTCATTCTGCAAACTCAAAGTAAAAATCTTAAGAAAAGGAAGAGTTGAAAAGGATTTAAAAATTAAGATTGACCTAGTTTTCTGTGGTATAAAATTCAGTGATATAAGACCGTAATGTAAAAAGCCAAGGAGAAGTTTGCACATAGCTAGACTCAATCTAATCTGGAGACTATTTAGCAATGACAATGGGAGGAAAGAGGAGAGAAAAATGAATAATTAAGTTGGGTGAAAGGAAAAGCCATATACAATAAAGGCAGTGCACACAGCAATTTATTGCATGAATTAGTTTTAATATTATGAAATTAAAAATCTACAGATCATTGAATCAAAATGCACTGTGATTTGTAAATTTTCAATAAAATAAAACAAAATTTTTGAAAACCAAACCCCACTAGAATTAAGGTGAATGGATATCTATCAAAAGAGAGTAGGTCACACTGAGCCATGGTCTCTGGGCCTGGGCCGCAGCCCATCAGTGATACAGGGAGAGGTGACAGCACCTGGGATGCATTTTAACTCTGCTGTTAGTCTTCCTTGCCTTCACCTGACTCCATACATGCTAATCAGAGCTTCATCGAGAAAACCAGTTCTCAAGTTAATAGTTGAGAGAGTAATTACCCACTAACGAACTCTTAATTTAGAGGAAGACTCACACTTTCTCAGTCTTCCCACATCTGCTTTGGGTTGTTACAGCAACAGAAGTAAATGCTCTTCACAATGAAAATATTTAAAGGATTTTCCAAATGTGTTAATCCTTATTAAACCAATATTGCTGGGGAAAATAAGACTCAAATTTCTCAGCGACTGCTGGTAGTAGATTTCATTTCCATTAATGAAACTACCATTTCAAATAAAACAAAAATGTGTTAAAAGAGAATATGGCTTAAAATTTGATGTCCGAAATGGACATGTTCCCTTCATACAATTAATCGCACATGTATCAAGAGCTCTCTTTCTAATGAAGACCTTTCCATGCCAACTTTCATAACATCAGGCACATATCCACGTAGAACACAATCCAGGAAAAACAGCATGCAAAGACCAATTCATGTCTTCTGGTTAAAAGGAAAATAAAAACTAGAACTTAAAAATATGGAGAGCTGTGGTTTCCTAATTGTAAGGAATTCTGCTGCCAGCACAAAGGTAAGAGGTTTGAATCCAGCAGCTGATCAATGGGAGAAAGATGTGTAATCTCCTCTCAAGTTAGTCACTGCCTCTAAAAACCGGCTAGCAGGTCAGCTGTGGGTTGGTGCTGACTTGACAGTTGTTGTTGTTGTTATGTGCCACCGAGTTGTTTGCGACTCATAGCGACCCTATGCACAACAGCCCTAAACGCTGCTCTATCCTGTGCCAATCGCATTGCCTCTGACACACCCATCCTGATTACCCCAGTCACTGAATCAATCCACCTCAGAGGTTCTTCCCCTCTTGCACTGTCCCTCTACCCTACCAAGCATGATGTCCCTCTCCAAGGATCTGTCTCTCCTTACAACATGTCCAAAGTATGTCAGACGAAGCCCCAGAATCCTTGCCTCCAAGGAGTAGCCTGGTTTAACCCTCTCCAGGATGGATCTGTTTGTTTTCTTGGCAGTCCATGGTACATTCAATACTCTTCTCCAGCACCACAGCTCAAAGGCGTCAATTCTCCTTCTATCCTCCCTAGTCATTGTCCAACTCTCTGATGCATAACAAGTGATTGCAAAAGCCATGGCCTGTATCAGGCGGACCTTAGTCTCCAGAGAGACACTGTTGCTCTTGAGTACTTTAGAGAGGTCCCTAACCACAGACCTTCCCATCGCAATACGTTTTTTGATTTCCTGGCTACTGGTGCCACGAGCGTTGACCGTGGAGCCGAGCAAACTGAAGCTGTGAACAATCTCAATCTCTTCGCCATCCATCCTGATGCTACCGATTGGTCCAGTGTTAAGAATCTTTGTCTTCTTGACATTGAACCTCAGTCCATACTGAAGGCTGCAGTCCTTGACCGTATGCAAGAAATAAAATACTAAGATACAACTGTGATACTCAACAATTTTACTAAAGTTGTAATGTTTATAAAAAAATAAATATGTACAAACCAAAATGGGACATTTCCCCCCATTCTCACTTAAAGAACAGTTGAACAGATAGTTTGAGAGTTTTTACTTAGTGGCATCCCTACCTCTACACACAGTCATCTCTATTGTTAGTATCTTTTGTCTGTATGATGTATGCATTACCAACGATGAACCAATACTGATACAGCAATACTTAAAGTACATTGTAGAATTTTTACTTCATCTGAGATCTAAATTAGGGCCCCACTTCAACAGCAGCCTCCACTAGTTTGTCAGTAGAAGCTTGCTTATGATGTGAAACAAATTTCAGTAGAGTTTCTAGACTAAGTCAGGACTAAGAATGTCTTGGCTAGCTTGCCAGAAAAATCAGCCAATGTAAGTCCTATGGGACAAGAAGTTCAGTTCCATTGTACACGAGGTCATCATGAATTGAGGGGCATCCAAACAACACAAATTTACATTTACCATCATTCTTTGTGTGATACAGTTCTCTGTGT